TTATGTGTTTGTTTTATCGTACACTCTTATATAACATCACGTCTTATAATCTCAAAGGGATTATGTAAGTTTTCCTCTATCATACTAAAGGATATCATAAAAGGAAAATGTGCACTTGGAAGCCAGAAAGATTTAAATTCATACGAATCTTATTCCCATCACAAATGAACGACTTTCCAACATGCTAGATGCCGACCAAGCTTCATAAATTTGCCATAACTCTGGGTTCATAGCATGCAGTCTTCTGCCGGATTAAGCCCATATTTTTCATAGCAAACGTGCCGTATCGCACACTATATTCCAGCCAGCTTTTCAACATATATCTTACATATTTTGTGTCTAGTTCACGAAGGAGGTTTGTTACATTTACTGATTGCTCCCTCAGTGAAACGCTGCATTATGGGATATTGTAGACTTCATATCTTCATATCTTATTTGGGATTCTATGAATGTTGGCGTAAAACTGAATTTTCTCAATGTTAACATTGTTGAAGTTATATTTGCTCTTCATATGCGGTTTGGTTTGAGTTTCACGTTGATTTTGTCGATACTCCTAAATTCTTATCTTTGATTCTTTTGTTTGATTTTTCTATATTTCCGTTGTTATTTTCACAAATTGGTGCAATCGAATAACTTTTTCTTGACTTCTATTTTTTGTAAATAAGCTCTTTTTTGCATCAAACTGAAATTGCAATACCACAAGTCTGTAATATAGGTCTAAAGTGTAGCATGTTTATTGTCAACAAGTTTAATATTTGCTACAGTTTTACTCGCTTAACAAAAAGTAGTTAGTATGGCGTGCCACCATAAATATGGAAGCAATTGTGGCTCTAATCGCCTCGGGCGTCGTCGGCGTGTTGCGAGAAGATCCTAACATATTAAATTTTCTTGATCATATTGCGTTTTATTTACTACGCCACAATTTTCTAGGAAAATAACCCTTATCGCGAATAAAATAATAACGCTGGGTTACAGTCTTACCTAAATGCTGTGTTATTAAAAAGTATTTTGCGTTTATTTGATTTTTACGTGTCTAGTTTCATTTTAGTAGCATAAATTATTACAAACGTAATTATGAACTAGTACCTAATATCTATTATCTTCAGCCTTCCCTATTTGTAATTTTTCTTCGTTATGATTACCTTGGCCCATGTGTCCATTCCAATCCATTCTTATAACGTACCCTTGACAAACATCCAACCATTTATTCTGGATATTATTAGTCCCAGTGGGATGCCCTTTCACTTATATAAAATGGAAGCTTCCAGAAACATCATTTCCTAAACCAGGATCATCCATTATGCCACATTGTACTATTATCCGAACTTCGGTGAGATGAGAAAAAGGTGTTTAACGTTATCGTTATCCGTTATTCGTTTTTGTTCAGCAACGGTTGTAACTGCTATTTATTGGGTCAGTTTCTCCCGGACTTTCTTGTTTAGTTGTGGAACTTTTAAATTGTAAGTTATTGTCGAAGTGTTACTTTGTTATTTGTGATGGCTTTTAGTGGATGGAAGGAGTTATTTTATGATTTTTTGCCCTAAAGTAATGTGTATTAAAGTTTTTGAGTTTTAGTCATTAATCAATCTAATAAGGTTTTTTTTGAATGGCAACCGAATCTCCTATACAGTCTTGTCGACAATACTGCCAGTGTCAAGAGGTGATAAGTAATAGTTGAAGTTATAATTACTTAATCGATTGTCTATTACTGCATCACTTAAGAAAACAAAAAAAAAAACAAAGAAAATATCGCTTACCACCAGGCGAGATGGTGATCAAACGTCGATCTATCACTACATAGTATAAAATATATAAAATAAAGTCTATCCACCGTCTGTTTGTTCCTATGTATGCTTAGATTTTTAAAACTACACAACGGATTTTGATGCGGTTTGTTTTTAATAGATAGAGTGATTTTTAACGAAAGTTTATATGCATAACATGTATATTGCACCCGTGCGAAGCCGGGGAAGGTCGCTAGTTAAGTATAAAAAAAACAAAAAAGGAATTAAGTAACAAACTGCTATGGAAATGGTTATCATGTATCTCAAAGTCTACACTCAAAGTTAAAGGGGGCTTAGTTTGTAAACATTCCAGATTTTGATGAGCTATTAAAATAAATGTAGACGAAGTAACGACAGAAGTTAATTTTCCGCGTAAAACCGAGCTACAATCTCTTACATATGACCATGAGTATTTCAGTTCGCAGAGAGCGCTCAGCATTATTCGTTAGTGCGCCACATATCCGAGGATTATACACGACCACTCAATTAGCTTTTATTTCATTTTGTGTAAGGTTTAATTTTAAATGCGCTATTTGTAAAGTTTGTAAGGATTTTAATCTAACAAATTGTTTTTAGTTCAATGAAGTTTTAGGTTAGATTTAAATAAGTAATCTTTTTGTGTATGTCAGGTTTTAAAATATTCATATTTGATGTCAACATTACCAAAATAATATGTATCCAATCTATCCCATTGTTTATCGTTTAAACTTTTAATGGTTAGCAGTTGGCGCTAGTGAGTTCTTAAGTCACACAGCCATGGTAACTGTCAAGCCACCTACTAATTCTAAAGTCACTTTATTGTCTCTAGCGATTCAAACCTCTTGTAATTTTAACACAAATTGCAGTTTGTCTATCTTTCTGTCTCTTCTAGATTTGTAACATGAAGTGGGAACTACCTTTACATTGTTGCGACTTTATAACCTGTGATAATAGTCTATATTCTGAAACATTCGTTGCAATAACAATGCGCATAGTTGCTGTAGTATTTATTATTTGTTTTAAGTTACCTATTGATACATTTTCCTGTAATCCTCGCCTGTGGATATATTATATTTACAATAATAAATAATAACAACAAACATGCCGACTTATACAGATCAGAGTCAGTCGTCATTATTCTCCCACAGATTACACAGTGCTTAACTTTTTTTTTAAGTGAATTAATTTTATAAACTTTGTTGTTCAATTGTTATTTCTTCAAGAGACAATGGATTTGTGCAATTTCTTTAGTCTTATTAAATACTTATTTTATTGCAAGACGGGGTCTCAAGACTCAACAACAACAACAGTAGATTATTACAGGATTTACAGGTAATGAAAAGTTTTCTTAATGAATTGCAGGAAAAGTGAAATTCTATTTTATAAATAAACAGTTCTAAAACAGCTAACCTCATTCTTTAGTCAGACCAAGTAGAATAGTTTCCGTTTATTATAATCTATGCATATTAAGCCGGTTGAATTATTATTAGGTACGTGTTTATTTGTTTATACATATAGTTACTTTATGGGTTCAGTATAATTACACCTTTATTTGAGAAAGGGCATTGCCCTTTTGACAGTTATATTGATTGTTTTACGTTTTTGGTGGTCCATAATAAACGCACGTGAGGATTTCGTCTATTGGTTTATTAACATTACTTTTTTATTTAATGTTACACTCAAGATTTGTTCATACAGTTGTCCGACACATCGACACTTATTTAATACGTAGAATGACTACATGACGTGTATGAATTAACCACAGAACCTTTCTAAACCTTATTACAATTACAAATATTCCGGCTAGACGAGGCTGGTGGAGTCAATGGCATTCCACGTCGCGGAAAACAATGATGCCATAAGATTTTATGTGATGCCCACAAATGTCTTCTTCTACATCATTTGACTGTGAATAAAGCTTTCTGTCCCTTTCATACTTCTGAGAATTCGATGATTAAAAAGAGACAGCGCATATTTAGCTGTGAAAGTGTTAGAATTTATATGGCGGAATGACAGTGACGTGTTTTTGACAGGACGGTTTTATATTATAATGGCAAGTGAAATAAATGATATTAATGTAGGTACATGCCTACTTCATTAATTTAAATACCAATTATGAGTATTTATATTCGGATGATAGGTCGGGTGTAAACCATAAACATCCACATTAATATTGAATAAAATATGTTATTTCGTATTTACCTGTTAAAATGTATTAAATCTAAGAACTAAGAACCATCAAACCATTGCAGATCTGCTTGAACAAAAAAAAACAGGAATAGACTACAAAAAGAATTGGCATAAAACAAAAAAATAAACACGAACAAAACTCAACATAACCTAAAAAAATTGCCATTAACCGCTCCCCATTTTCATGGCGGCAAAATATTTACAACGCCATTCATCGCTTCATTGATTGAATCAACAAAACGAGTCTGCACTAATGAGATTATCAGTAGCACTGCCATCGTCTGGCCCCTCAGAGGAATGTATTATATTATCGAAGAGAAGAGACACTCTAGGGACTTGGACGATGTCTCGTGGAAAAATTCTAAAGAAAAATCTGAAGTGTCGTTGAAAAATGGAGTTGATTGTGAAAAACATTTCTGGGACCTAAGTAGGTACTTAGCTTTTTGTATCTGTGGTTTGATCTCGCTGTTGTCTGTTTGTGAAGAGTCGTTGTAATTAGTGGATGTCTGATAAGACCTCTTTATCATTCTTTTATAAATAGAAAATTTTGATTTCTAAATGGGTTTTTAAAGGTAAAGGTAGAGAGGACTATGCTAAATCGATGACCAAAGGTAGGGTAAACATTTAGTGTAGTACTTAAGTAAGCAAGCTTAAGGTAAGCACGATTTGTAAAGTTTAATGTAATAGGTATATTTATTTATTTATATACACTTTATTGTACACCACACAATTAAATTATAGGACGGTATCAACAAAAATAGAGTACAATGGGCGGTCTTATCGCGCACGGCGATTTCGTATAGACAACTTTTGGATGCAGAAGTAATAGTTTATGGATCCCCAAGTGTATAAGATTTCATAACTGTTAAAAATACTACACATGCTATATAAATATCCAAATAGAATTCTAGAAAAATATACAATATAATAAATGTAATATAGTTAACGGAAACACTGGAATCGGTTACAATATTTTCGCAGGAGTAATTTAACGGGTTTTCCTTTCTTACTTCGACATCCTGCTTTAATAGGTAGTGCCGAACAATTTATGACGAACTCGTGCAGAAACTTTTTAAACAAATGTTTCCAATATTTTCACGATACGAAACTGTTTTCTATCAAAACAAAATAGCCATTTTACAGTTATTACCTGTAATAACAAACTAATAAGTAAATGGAGACTACCGCACATAATCCTTAATGGCAAACGCGAGAAATAATCCCGCTAATGGTTGGGTGATGGCAATTGGCACAGATAATTGATTGATTCTTTCATTCATCATCATCAGTAACTTTCCCGCCATAAAAATGCAATTTCTAACATATCTGTGGTCGCAGTTCAATGCCCTTTATTCGCTAGACTGCCAGACGTCTGTAATGTGTGCACTCTTGTTGCTCATTATCTGAACACTGAGTAATGCCATTGACGAATCGACAGCGAATTAAAAACGTTTGATATCTTGTGTCATTTAAAACATCCGCTCGAAAGGAATTGCTATTTTGGTAGTCGAGTTTCTGTAGTACGATAAGTTTTCATAAACGAATACGAGTAACTTCAATGGCGGATTTTTGATGTAGCATGAAGGAAGCACGTTTTAATTGGGAAGGGTTGTAAAGCGATAAAAATATGCCCCTAATTGCGTTTGGTTTGATTTCGTTAGTGTCATTTACATTTCACGTTTTTGTATTAACATCGAAAAAGCTTATAATAGAACATTTTGGGAAGCTTAGCAGGCAGTACGTACTGATATGTCATTTGTGGGTGACTTTATCCTTTCAGATCCCCAAGCGGTCACCGGTGACCGCTCTTCACTAACTCATTATAGACCTTATTTTCAAAGTTTAGAGAATACTTTTGTATGAATGAATTTAGCGGACGATTTTCAACGGGTTTGTTTTCTACCACAAAAGTTTTAATTAAGCATTTCATACAAGTAACTTTCTTTTAGTTAAACGGCACGGTACAATTCAAAGTTGATGATTCCGGAGGGTTGAAAGATTGCGTGTTAATACCTAATTTGGTACTGTTACTTGATTACACCTTTCGATACGCATACTTTATTACGGAAGTAAATCACAAATTGCGTGATTATGTTCAGTATTAACACTTTAAAGTTTTTGTTACTATCGTGCCATTGTTTTGTGAAGCTTTGGGTGAAATTCTCTAGCACTTTGCAATACTCAAATTGTAAAAAATTCAGCCATGCGTCACTATGGATCACACTTGTAGTGTTGAAATCCCGCGAATTCAGCTGTCAGTTTGAAAATGACAGCTGTCATTGCCACCTCGCTCGCATTATTTTTACCGGAATAACTGCAAGAATTTGTAGTTTCAAAGACAATTTAGATTTTCCTATAACATGTTTTAATTGAAGAATCTATCTTACTTAGCAAAATTCAGCATTCAGCTGTGAAAACACGACAAATGCGGAGGTATCGTTATTTCTTAAGAACAGACAGTAATCAGCCTCTTTGAGACAATTGCAGACTTACTTGGATCGTGGAGCTACACAGTGCAGTAACTTTCAAACTTGTTCTCACGTAGTCCCACTCCGTCAGGCAGTGGATGCGGCCGCCCGAATAAATCTCTAGACTTTTATCAAGTTTCATATTTTTGGAGCATATCCGTGACCTGTTTTCTTAAAAACTTGTGTAGCGCCCAAGTGTGTCTTCCAGGTCTCGTCTCAGCTTTTATGTAAGATTTTAGACGAAATATTAAAATGTACGAGAATAACTGTGGATGTTTAGATGTATGTCCTCTTACATGATTGCGGTTTCCTAAGTATGCTCTTAGCGATATTAAGACATGAGACTTCGTTATTTTACGGAGATATAAGAAAATAGTAAAGTTCGCGTGAGTTGCTAATTTATTGGCTCATGAAATTATTATGCCGTAGCACGTTTAGAGTTAACAGAACAGTCGAACTTTCGCGTTTTCTTCAAAAACTTGAACACGTGTTATTTACCTTTACGCTTCAGCATGTTAATGAGTGTGTTAACACCAGTTAAAAGCTACGTCGATCCATCAAATATTTATTAACATACTTGACCGGTATTTGAGCTGAATTTGCGGTCACAACAAAAGCTAACCGCTGCCTAACTGTAAACATACAATTCGTCAATGCAGTATGTATGCCACGTCGTCCAGTTATAAAGATTATTACAGATGATAACTGATAGCCGCATGCGCATATATTGATGCCGAAATAAGTCCTAATTAGCCATGTGTGGGGTACCCGTTGCGCAGACAGGTCATTGTTCCAACCGACTGTTTAAGTCAGCACGCTTTTTGGTATTCGCGACGGGGACAGGTGGCGCGCGTGACACCTGCTTCCGGCGATGCGCGTACGCATATTTGGGATATAGAATGCATGTCGCGGACGGTTTATTGGTCAGTCGTGTCTGGACGTTCGATGCGTACACATGTCATGTCATGCACGGCGCCGGTCTCGCAGGCTTTCGAAACAAGGTTCCATATTAGTCGAAGTCTGTAAATAAGTAGAAAATTAAAAAGGACTTTTACAATTGATCCAAGTGAAATTTATTTATGGTCAACTGGTTTTTTTGGATAATGTTAGCGGCAGTCGGGTTGTGTTTGTATTTATTACTTGGAAAGTAATATTTAGTTAGGACGCCCCTGAATGGTGTGGACAATGTTTTGTATGTATGTCGTGTTTGTTATCTCTGCCGGAACAATTGTCCGCCGCCGGATGCTTCTGACAGTCCCAACGGCTAAATGATAATATACGCCAGTAACTGCCGCTGTATTTTTAGTATTTGCACAATAATTTTTCTGTAGTATTTATAGCTGTTTAGTAAAGAACTTCTATAAGCATAGAAACATCGAAGTTTGTCTGGCACTGCAATGTGATTCACTATTAACAATTGCACATCAAAAGCGGCCTTGACCTCTGAATTTCTAGCAACCAATAACATCTGGCTTACATGCTTAGTATTTCGCAGTGATGTCAACTAATAACATAGTTCATAAATTACTTATTGAATAAATAACATAGCTTCATAAAATATTCTTTTTACGAATTCCGAGTGAAACTCTAGAACAATGTAACTTTTAACGCATTGGAAAGTCATAAGTTCAAATGTCTTCCCAGTTTTCACGTCAATCGTGTGGAAAAACGACACATTTAAAGTTGAAGAGAGCGGTAGGGACCGATATTGACGTCTTGGTAATGACAAGGGTAGGAAGGAAGCCTTTTGTTGGCCCAACATTTATTAAAGGTTCCAAATAGGTACACGGGGAAGTTACAGCTATCATGATAAACCTTTGCGCAAAACTAGAACCCATTTTCTTCTTTTTCAGACAAGCAGTTTTGTAGTAATCTGCCAAATGTTGCAAAAACCAATCAAAAGTGGACTGTGATCGCCTTTTAGGCGTTAAATTAGTAGTAATAGTGTATTAAGTGCTTCTTTACCAAATATTTATACCTTGTAACCAATAAAATCAGCCTTAATTAAGAACGAAGTCACCTTAAAGGACCAAAAGAATTTTGTAAACTTTTTAGTAGTTGACGAACGCCTTAATTTTTTACGAAATTCTAGTGTAAGTGTGATTGTATAACAGTGCTTATAATATGAGACACATTTTTTACTAAATCATTTTGTACGATATCTATATCAACGAATTTTCGTAGAATGATACATTTGGAGTGTGGTTTGTGGTGGTTCCGTGATAACGTGAGGTGGTGTTGAAACAGTGAGAAAGTTGCAAAAATTTGTTACCATGGAGCGTTGCGATGGATTCCTGGTCTACAGAAAGCCGGTGTACAGGGTCTTCCAGTATTTGGAAACGTAAGTATTGCATGGAATTAAAAGTATTTTGTTATGAAAGAGTAAGAACATAAACATATTACCCTTCTGCCAATATTTTTGGCTACCATAACTTCTTTCAAATAATCTGTTCATCGAAAAGCGATTCTATCACATTTTATGAACAAATAGCAACCAAAGTTAATAAACGTAATCATAAAAGTGACCTTGATAAGTGCTAAGATTTCCATAGGCCTATAAACGTTGAAATGACCGCGTTTTCACTTTGAAAATTAACGTTCTCCAGCTAATTTCGTTACGTCAGCATTTCAAAAAGTCTTTAGATACTTTAAACATTTAAAATTAAAAGCTTCAGACGATTAGAAACGAGAATTTCTTAAAGATTTCAAGTATTAATAATATTTGACCTTTACCGACTTTGAAGTTCGGTTTTTGCGAACGGATTTTGGCAAACGAAACTAAAAAATGTGTTTTATAAAGGCCTGATTGCATTGATGATAACGTTTGAGATCCACAATGGCTGTACGATTTCCAGGTAGATTTTGGGAGGATGGAAGTTTTTCAATATGATTTAACTCTAAACTAAAATTAGATTTCTAAATGCAAAAGCTTGGTTGATGTTTTTGTGCCTATTTATGCGCAATTTTAGGTCATTGTTCACTGTTGTAAATCACTCTTCCATACATGAGTGTAATTAAGGTTATCTTGTTTCAAATGAACAAGGTACATTTACTTTAACATAAAGGATGAACCATATATCATTAGTGAACTAGACTTCATAACTAGAGTCCATTCTACAAAATACAATTTCAAACTAAATTCTGACTTATGCTAAATAATACTAAAGTCATTCTTACAATGGCAAGACCTGTTTCACGGTTCAGCCACATTCAATGGTTCACAACTAATCATGTATTTAACAGATAGCTTCCCAGATTGAGACGTTCCGTTCTACCAAATAGCTCTGAACACTTCGGTAGACAGGCCTCCATATTTGATGAGCCTCTCTCCTTTAACCGACGGGCCAATCTATCATTAGCAACCTACACTCAACATTGAATCCTAAATTGATGATGATAGTGCTCAATTTTGTGGAGATGTTGCGCTTGATTGGTGTAGCATTTAAAAGGAATAGGTATATATTATTTGATGTTGCATATTGAGTTAGACTATAATAACGCTAGAATCGCATTAGTTGGAAATTGTCACAGCGGCGTTATGGTTGCAAGGGTCATTGCCAAACGCATCCTTCTAAGGTTTAAACAATTTAGAAATATTGTTACAACTCTTCGGTTTGTTAGTAAGTTTATGCCCTTCTGCTCCAAGTTGTGGCAACAAGCTTGTCCCTATTTCATGTCCTTGATAACAAACGTTATTACATTTGAGTTAAGAACAGTTTGTTCCTGCCAAATCGATATTTCTAAGCGGTTACAAACCGTATCTCACAACAGACAAAAGAACTAAAGTATCAGATTATCACAAAAGAAAACATTGTGCCTTTATTTATTTTTCTAGCAAAATAACGAAGGAACAAAAGAGAAAATATTTTTCAAAAGCAATACAAAGTAGCCAAACAAAAGATGGAAGCCTTCGATCTCAGGAACCAGTAAGCGTCTTCAAGTCTCAGTTTCAATAGAATCTAGTTCTGATATCGACAAGGAACGTCATTGAAGCGTTAGCCTATGTTTGTGGGGAACACAATACAAGGTATGCCCGGCCCACACAGTGGAATACTCTTGAAATAGCTTTGACCAAAGAATACTGGAAATATAATCGGCATTATTTGACGGAGGCATGAGTTTGTGGTTCCAAGGTAGTAAAGGTATTGCTGTAGGTATGTCTAGTCTAGCCGCTGTGATGTTGGCGGATAAAGTGGAATTGCAATTTGGAAAGTACCTATGGAATGTTCTGACTGAATAAAGAAATATTCCTTTATTGGGTCACACTGACTTAGATGACATGATTAATGTTAGCTACTAAAGTAGCCACGAATTTATATTCCGTATTAAATACTATTCAAATTCGAAGAATCGAAATGTCCAAATTATTCTCAACGGATCTGCGAATTGTAGAGCGTGATTAGCATTGTAACTAATCAAGGACTAAATTACGGAGTTTCCTTGAAAGTTCCTCATAAAAACTGACACATTGTGCATTCTAATTTAGGCTTCATTTTTCTCTGATGGACAGTGACTAGGTAGGTATGTACTTAGACTGTGAAATGTGCTTAAATGACCTACTGACTAAGAATTCTAAAGATCTTTTAAACACTTAAGTTAATGTCGTGTTTGGATCATACTGTTGTGTTCACGACACAGGAGATGAACCCTCGTGTAGGGCAATAAAAAACACAGGATTTTACACTCTGAGCTGTACCTATTCACGTCGTTTACTCTACACGACAGACTCAACATCTGAAGATCTAATCTTCCATGACAACTTTGGTCCTCGAACTGAGTGTCTGTCAAAGACATAAAATTTACATTGAACCAACCAAAATTGCATTGTGTTAAATAGAAAGACTTGATCTTTTTACAAATGATTGTAGAAGTTCTTTCGACTGTACTATCAGGACTTGGAAGCTTAACTGGAAATTGTTGCTCCGAACTTATTAAGTCTAGTTTTAGATTTTGATACAGAATGTACCGTTTTAAAGCGTATAGGACTAAACACACGGTTTAACAATGATTATAATATACATATGTATGTACCATTTTTTTCTTTTGAATGCAGAAAATCATCCAATGACTTCTCCCGCCTTAGGTGAGGCGAGAGGGAGTGTCAGACTCTTACTGACTAAAAAGACTAAAAACCACCCCGTTCTTACTCCTGCACTTCGAGTCGGAGCACTGGCAATTTGGTTATTATGTATGACAAGTCATTATGAATTATATCAAATTTATCACTTTGACAATATTGTCAACCCTGCTATAATTGTAACATATATACCCCTGCCACGTACCCTTTCGCATAAAGTGCCACTTCAAACATCGATCCGACAAAAATGGAGTTTAAATTTTTACACTTTCGCTTCTATAGCAATGTTCCCAACTGTGAGGTCATTTTCTGATACACTGTATTGACCAGCAAACACTTTACTCCCAGTTGTAAATTATACAAAGTTATCAAGACCACGTGCTATGCAAAAAATAAATACATTTTCATGCAGCAGCAGTTGTACGTTTTGAATAAATTTAAAATAAAACAGTTGGACCCAGTGTGAGTTGGAGCAAGACGACGGAATTTCCATAAAACTGCAATATTTTACGAACGTACATACAAAGTCGCATGGATATCTATCCCGTATCCAGTATTACTATGTAGCCTTTAATTTTTCAACTTGTTCATGTAAAATGTATACAAAATGCTTCCCTTCTGTGTTTCTGATATTGTGATGTTGTTTATTGTAATAGCTGGCATTCTTGAAACGGCTATCGCTAGCAAGTTACTTTAAAATTAAATATTTTTACTACTTTATCATCTTCTACTTGGATATTGTAAAATGGATAGCGGAAACAACACGAATCCTTGATAAAACCTTGAATTAGTACTGATCACCTGACTGCTGCTGCGAACACTGGAAGCAAAATTGAATCTATCATCCCATCATCAGCAACCATAAAGTGACTCCTGTCATGTACACGTCTCCCAAAGTACTTGTGACTACGAGGGTCTATCTTCAGAATACATTATACTAAGTGCCTAAGGTCAAGGATCTCTTCCAGAATTCCTGTCCTATGTAGCACGTCTTAAAGAGAAAACAACTTTATCATCGTCAAAAGGTTCTTGACCTCTGAAAAGAAAGATGGGGTCTTCGTTATTTTGATCCTAAAGCATTAATTTATGATATTCGTTCTTTATAAAACCCTCATTAAAAGGTTTCCGAGAATTGCTTAGAGAGGCACTCACAGGCCGCGGGGTGGTCGGATAAAATGAAAGAAGTGGTATGTTAGGGTGAAGCGTTAATGTCTAATGAGTAATGTTAAGATTGTATTTTTTGGGTTTGCCTGAAACAACTGTTACATTTGTGTAATCTGTGTACACTTTTTAAAGGGTAGACAGACAGATATAGTTTAGTTTAGGGTTAGGCTTCCAGAAGAATGCCTTTGGTGTACCTAATTGAAATACTATGGTTTTTTTTCGTTACATAAAGAGGATTTTAGGTTATGTCAGTAACAGCAATGAAAGTAACACTGGCCTACAAATCGAACGTTAATCTGTCTCTTCTTGACCTAAGCAAACTTAAATACACATCTTAAGGTCTTTTATCCACGCCCAAACCCAATCTATTCCTTCCTCTAAAACATTAAAAATCAATATCTGACAAAACACAATGCACACGGACGGAACCCTATTCCAAAAAGTCTATACGGACGCCATTTTTTAAACTACAGCAAAGGGTGGAATGTTTTCCTAACGCTTTAAATATAGCACGTTTAAATAGGGAGCTAAGTGTTTTAAAGTGCATGGTATGTTCTGGTACTTTTTTTAGACCAATCTCGTTTGTTTTTGTGCTTTAATAGTGCCATAAAGTTTAATGATTTTCAGAAGAACTGTTGTATGTGTTGACTAGCTCAAGTATTGATTATCTTATTTAGGATATGGTGTAGTCAGTGCAGTTACAACGAGGAATATTTTGGGTAAGGTTATGGTAGCGTTGGATGAATGTCAGACTATTTTTGGCTAAATTAGATGTTGAATTTTGGAAGGAAAGGAACATTCAATATGTTGGTTAAATGTTTCAATCAGTTTTTGAGAGAGGAGTATTCGAGGTGATTTTACTGAGCACCATTAGCACAGAATATGCGTAGCTCGTCTTACCGGGACCGATTCCTTGGTCATAGGATAAATTAAATTGGCGTAAACTATTGGACATCAGTGAAACTACCATACTCATAGGTATAGTTTTCTTGTACGTACTAGCTACATACGGTAGTCAACCGCAGTGGCTTCTAAAGTAAAACTTTAAAAGCTTCCCGTACAAATGTTAAGCGAACAATACTTACTTTTATACCAAAGTA